CAATTCTTGTGCTTTTGTCAAATCTACTTCTTTATTTACAAAGCACAAGGAGGGCATTGTCTATTGTATCCAATCGATCTGTGGCCATAAATTAAATTTCAACCACTTCACCGAGGGTCATTTCCGATATGTTAAAATTCAACTTGACTCCTTGGCCATTGGAATAAATACAAAAATAAATTAATAAATCACATTTGGGGCTCGCGAATGATATAAAGAAGAAATTTATTTTGTTCTCTAAGCGCCAAAAATTTTAAAATGGTTGCTGTTGTTTTAATTTCTCCAGGTTTTTTTTCAGTATAGTTAGTCTGAGAATTAACATGAATTTGCAGGAAAACCACTGGAACAGCTTTAAAATGCTGCTCATAATAAAAAGGAATTCGCTGGCTTAATTTCTTATCCAATTTTAGCCACAGAGAACGTTTGTTCGGAATTTAGGCTTTTGACCTCTCTAAAAGAAAACCACCCGCTTTTCAATTTTTTTTCTGTCAGCCGAAAAGTCTGGAATCACAGTCCGTCAACAACGTATCTTTTGGGGTCGTGGATCGATAAAAAGTCTTGATTTCAGTTGACGAATTTGGCCCAAAAAAACTTTCCAAAGTAGACTGTTTCCCTTATTCAACCTAACCTCCTTCATTCTGGTAGATCTAAACAGTTCCCTAGTGTTCTCCACCCCGGAGGGGGATAAGATATGCTGTTCACGGTAACAGATTGCCCAGCCCTTTACGCGTGAAAAGGAAGATATTTCGCGTATAAGCCATACACATGTACGTGTCATCAAGCCTTTTTTACCGGAGCGGGGGGGGGGGGGGGGGGGGGAGGGGCGAAGGGAGGAGCGACGGGAATGGGCTTAGGAGCTTTTGTTTGCAATTGGGTAGGGGGGTTTTAGGGTACGTTACCAGGAAAAGCCCTAGTGAATCATTTGTACTCCCTTGGGAGGCAGTTACACGGCTCATGGTCTGTTACAGGTTGTCTTAAAAGTCTTTTTTTTCTTTCGATTTCATGTATAGACGGAAAGCAAGCCCAGTATTGCAACAAATCTCCCCAAACTGAGTAAAATCGGTTATTGAAGGAAATATTGGT